TTAGAGTAAAGGATTCTTACCAATTGTTGTATATAATAATTATCATACCAAAAAAACAAGAATCACATCTTTAAATTCATAGTTCAAGAGTTGTACCTGCAAAAGACATCTTGAATATAAATATTAACAGCTAGATTTTCATCTCATTACTCTTCACAAAAATAATAGCCGTCAATGGGGTAAACTAATAAAACATATGGAATGGAGAAGAGAGGGGACCTAGTATCTTATATAGAAACTTATTTGAGCAGTCTCATTAATGACTCCAACCCTAATTAGGGTTTAATATTTCTGGTCCACACACTTAAATTATCACATGTGGAATTTACACAGCAACATGTATTCAAAGATTACACTTCATAAATCAGGTATGAAGTTTATTTAATAAAAAATCATGTATTAGAAAATTTAACGACCACACCCCCACGCAATCCAATTTCATCTAAACCCTAAACCGAGATTCCCCAATCTTTTTTCTTTTCTTCTTTATCAAACACATCATTGGGGCACCGTCGGCGTGGCATAGGTGAGCGGCACGATGCCGTTCAGAGTGACCCGCTCTCGACGTATCTGCACAACAACGACTTCAGTGATAATGTCGTTGCACAGCGATGATGCCACCATTGGAGTTTTTTTTTACATTCTGTTATTTTGTACAACTTTCATATACCAACTTGTATAGAATTAGTTACAGCAAATTCTTTCTTCTTTATAAATAACAAAGTCGTTGTACAGAAAAGATACAAGGGATTAATGAATATGAATTAAAATTCTCTTCCAAAATACTTTCTTCACATTAAATTTTCTAATAGTGGTAGATGATAAGTTTCAAGAATTGTGAAGTTTTTGGGGATAATTTTTTTTTTGGAGTAGGAAATAAGAATGTTGCTCTCATGTTGACTTGTCATCCAATGACCAATATATAAGCATAAATAATATGGAAATAAATATCACAAAACTTGCTGATATTATTAAGGATATAAAAAAAATTATTATTGTGTGTATCGATCACTATTTTTTCATGAGTTGATTTTATGAAACTGGTTATTATAACTCGACAAATTTCACCTACTCTTTGTCGGTAGACGTGTGCAATTTTCTTTATTGGCTAGATACATCTCATTTCCAACAATACAAGACACATAAATCAGAACCAGTTTTACGTACGCGTGAACCAATTTTTATGAATGTTTGTATCATATGATACCTGCTCAAGTATGATCCTACAAATTTTTTGTTATGAAATTAAGCTTCAGATTTAGACGGCAGGTAAAGTGAGATTGAGAAAGACTGGAAATAAAATGAACACAAAGATTTTACGTAAAAAACTCCTAATTTAATTTGGGATAAAAATCACGAGGTAAGTATAACAGTCTTCTCTCTAAATATTAGAAAATAATAATAATAATAATCGATCCCTCTTGTAATAGGAAAACTAAAGTTGGTACCCTAAAAAAATCAATATCTTTTTCTTTATTTGATGTGTCTCTCTAGTCTCTACCATATATGTTGTTCAAATATAAAACGTTATGAGATTGGGATCCACTTTCTTGCAGAATTCTTCCTCTATTTATGATCAAATCATTCCACTCAGCATTTAGCCCTTTTTTATGGTCATTATTTGAACACTCTTTTTTCAACATACTCATTTTTAACTAAATATTCACACAATAAAATATTTTGCAGGAAACTCAAAACTTTTCTCCACTTTTTAATAACACGTTATTCTAAAAATCATTATTCAAAACATTAATTTTTTTTTTCCAAATAATGACCATCAACATGGACTTATTGTTTGGCACCATCGTTTCAATTGTAGAAGTAAAAATATATATAGCAATTAAAACTTTGCATGGTGTTCTATATATCCATTTAATGCTTTTACATAATACAACATGAATTCTCTACAATTCTTATTCTCATGCAGAACTTCACTCCGGATACGTGAATAGTGTGCCTCATGGTAGTAAAACATTAACCCCCAGAACAAGGCCGACCACTACCCATGACAATTGGTATTCAAAAGAGACTTTAACGTTTTCACATTTTTCCGTCACATTAAATTTGCAGATGAAAAAACTTCTATTATCTCAATTTTAGGGTTTTAAGTTTGTAACGCTTCGCCACCAAGACTCAAGTCCAAGCATACATGGTAACCACATGAAGGCATGGGTCAAAAGGAAAGTCAAAAGTTGACCAAAGTCAATAGATAGAAGCCCATTCAATAGTTGAAGACTTACATATCCGAAACCCTCCATCCCTAACTCCCTCCCTCCAAAGAGCTTTGGACTAGGAGCAATTCCCAAGAATATCATAGTATCTAGCAAATGATTGATGTGACAACTTGCAGCCCAATTAAGTCAAATTATGTCAACCTAATAGATTAGAGAAATGCTACTTGTACATTAGCATGTACATAAGGGTGCACATAATGTGAGTGGAGGTGGGGCCTACGCTACAGTGTCGTGGGCTCCACCACACTCACATTATGTACACGCTTATGTACACGGTAATGTACAAGTAGAT